TTTATTTCTAAAGTAGGAATTTATATAACGTGACATTGACTGACTGTTTATAAATTGTGTGCTTTTTGAACAAAATAGAATGTATTTGCAAATACAAATTCATCCCATAAAATTTTTAGTTCTCTCAGGACAGTGACTTGAAAGGAATTTGGGGATTTACATATATATATTAGTCAATTAAATCCTTCTAACTGATTAAAGATTTAACAGCATCTTAGATTTGTTTAATACATTCTCATCAGTGGTATGACATTTTGATCTTTTATTTATAAATTTTGTGTCTGATACTACCTCACTCACACACACCTGAAGAAGGAATAAGGCTCAGAAAGCTTGTGTTTTCAAATAAACCTGTTGGACTATAACCTGGCGTTGTGTGATTTCTGACCTTGTTCACCCCAGTCCTACACCAGCACGTCCGCATCATGGTCTCCTGTGAAACATTTTGTGGAATCTTCCTCTGTTAATATAATTTTAAGTTGTTGAGGAATGGAAAAACATTGCATATTCCTGAAATCTAACTGCTCCATCTCAATATCTGAAGCTCTTTTGGCTAAAGGGAGAAAAAAAACACTAATGTTCAGTTCTGAAGTAGCTAGTTCTGTTTGATTTGGCATCTTTTGGAAGACAAAACTGAACTGAACTCAGCTCTCAGCTTGTGAAATTGTCTCATAGGAAATGTGTTGCACCCTGATTTACCTAATTTTCTGGCCATGATAATTTAAGAGAATTTTTCTCAATATTTCAGAGAGGGAACTGAGAAGTTGGTAGTATAGTAACTGGACCATAGTAATCCTGCAGTTTCAAGGAATTAACAGTGGAACTCTTCTTAGGGTATGTATTTGGGGTGGGAGGGGACGGAGGGAGTCGGAAATGGCAGTAGGGGGAAGGAAGGGAGGAACAGAGAACTTGGAGCTGGAAAGCCAGAGTTTGAAGATTCCAGGGCAGATGAAGAAAGATCAGGATTTAAGTTTTTGGAGTTAGAAAGTAATGGGCCAGATGGCCAAAGGCCCAATATAGGGGAGTGGGAGGGAACTCAGGAGATCACAAGGGACATATCTTTTTCTTAAGCGTTTAGGAAAAGTAGGTCACAAGATGTTTGGAAGCACTTACCTTGAGCAGCTGGCTGTCCCTGTAGCCAGGACAATGAGAACAAAGAAAATTACAGCACAGGAACAGGCCCTTCAGCCCTCCAAGCCTGCACCGACATGCTGCCCATCATAACTGAAACTCTCTACCTTTCCGGGGACCATATGCCTCTATTCCCATCTTATTCATATATTTGTCAAGATGCCCTTTAAGATTCACTGTAATATCTGCTTCCACTACCTCCCCTGGCAGTGAGTTCCAGGAACCCACCACCCTCTGTGTAAAAACCTTGCCTCATACATCACCTTTAAACCTTGCCCCTCGCACCTTAAATCTATGGCCCTTGGTAACTGACTCTTCCACCCTGTGAAAAAGCTTCTGACTGTCCACTCTGTCCATGCCCTTCATAATCATGTAGGCCTCTGTCAGGTCGACCCTCAACCTCCTTTGTTCCAGTGAGAGCAACCCAACCTCTCCTCATATCTAATGCCCTCCATACCAGGCAACATCCTGGTAAATCTTTTCTGTACCGTCTCCAAAGCCACCACATCCTTCTGGTAGTGTGGCAACCAGAATCAAACACAGTATTCCAAATGCAGCCTAACTAAGGTTCTATAAAGCTGCAACATTACCTGCCAATTTTTAAACTCAATGCCCCGGCCGATGAAGGCAAGCATGCTATATGCCTTGTTGATTACCTTCTCCACCTGCGTTGCCACTTTCAGTGACCTGTGTACCTGTACACCCAGATCCCTCTGCCTATCAGTACTGTTAAGGATTATGCCATTTACTGTATATTTTCCATCTGGGTTAGACCTTCCAAAATGCATTACCTCACATTTTCCCGGATTAAACTCCATCTCTCTGCCCAAGTCACCGACTGATCTATATCCTGCTCTTTCCTCTGACAGTACTCATCGCTATCTGCAATTGCACCAATCTTTGTGCCATCCGCAAATTTAATAATCAAACCAGTTACATTTTCCTCCAAATCATTTATATATGTTACAAATAGTAAGGGTTCCAACACTGATCTCTGAGGAGTACCACTAGTCACAGCCCTCCATTTAGAAACACACCCCTCCACTACTACCCTCTGTCTTCTATGACTGAGCCAATTTTTTATCCATCTTGCAAGCTCACTTCTGACCCTGTGCACTTTTGTATCAGTCTGCCATGAGGGACCTTGTCAAGGGCCTTACTGAAGTCCATGTAGACAACATCCACTGCGCTATCCTCATCAATCATCTTCAACACTTCCTCAAAAAACTCAGTCAAGTTAGTGAGACACGACCTCCCCTTCACAAAACCATGTTGTCTCTTGCTAATACGCCCACATAGTTCCAAGTGGGAGTAAATCCATTCTCAAAGAATCCTTTCCAATAATTTCCCTACCACTGACATAAGGCTCACCGGCCTGTAACTAGCTGGATTATCCCTGCCACCCTTCTTAAACAAAGGAACAACATTGGCTATTCTCCGATCCTCTGGGACCTCCCCTGTAGCTTGTGAGGATACAAAGATTTCCCTCAAGGCCCCAGAAATTTCCTCCCTTGACTCTTTCAATATCCTGGGGTACATCCCATCAGGCCCTGGGGACTTGTCTACCTTAATGTTTTTCAAGACCCCAATACCTCCTTCTTTTTGATCTCAACATGAAGCAAACTATCTTCATACCCTTCCCCAGACTCATCATCCACCAAGTCCTTCTCTATGGTGAATACTGACGCAAAGTACTCATTTAATACCTCGCCCATTTCCCCTGGCTCCACATATAAGTTCCCTTCCCTGTCCTTGAGTGGTCCAACCCTCTGCCCGGCTACCCTCTTGCTCTTTATATATGTATAAAAAGCCTTGGGATTTTCCTAAACCCTGTTGGCCAATGACTTTTTTTGACCCCTTTTAGCCCTCCTGACTCCTTGCTTAAGTTTCTTTCGACTTTCCTTGTATTCCACTCTTGCTTTGTGTGTTTCCAGCCTCCAAGTCTTGACAAATGCTTCCTTTTTCTTTTTGATTTAGGCTCACAATATCTCTTGTTATCCAAGGTTCCCTAAACTTGCCATACTTATCCTTCATCCTTACGGGAATGTGCCAGTTCTGAGTTCCTATCAACCTACACTTGAAAGCCTCCCACATACTAGATGTTGATTTGCCCTCCAACATCTGCCTCCAGTCTACATTCTCAGTTCCTGTCTAATATTGTTGTAATTAGGCTTCCCCCAGTTTAGCCCCTTGACCTGACAACTACTCTTTATCCATCAGTACCTTAAAGCTTAATGAATTGTGATCACTGTTCCTGAGCTGCTCCCCTACTGAGATGTCAACCACCCAGCCAGGCTCACTCCCCAATATTAGGTCCAGTAGGGCCCCTTTCCTAGTTGAACTATGTATATACTGTTTCTGGAAGCCCTCCTGGATGCTCCTTACAAACTCTGTCCCATCTGCGTCCCAAGCACTAAGTGAGTCTCAGTCAATATATGGGAAGTTAAAATCATCCACGACAACAACCTTGTTACTTTTACATCTTGCCAAACAACAACCCTGTTACTTTTACATCTTGCCAAAGAGAACTTGTCCAGCAGCCATTAGAATTAAATCTCATTCCCAAATGCCCTGCAGGAGTGAGATTTGAATATTGTAATGGAGCATCTAGCTTTTTCAAGGTGCTCGAACAATTGCTGTAAAATTGAAGGCTGGCACATGTGCACTAGGTAAGGATCACATTTCACAATTAAAAGATTTTAAGCCCCTGCCCCCTGACAGTCTTCTGACTTTTGTGACGGTTTAACCTGTGCCATGCGTTTCATGCTGCCTCTTCTCTGAGGACCCAATATCAGAGTTTATCATTGTGTCTGATGATGCTATTAAGATGCCTCTTTGAGAATTGCAGTTTGAACCCATGTCACCACTCCAACAAAACACCCACTGAAATTGAAACACAGAATATAAGGAAAATTTTACTTCAGATGTATGATTTTCTTAGATTGCTTCAATATATCGTAGGTTAACACATGCTATATTTATTTAAATAGATGTTGCTGATTGTAGAGGAAGTATCCAAGCCGTGAAGTTTTCAGTAAACATGAAAACCTGGTCAAGCACAAATTTGATGCTAAAATTCATTTCAAGGTAGTTCAAAGCAAATCAAAGAACTTATCACAATTGCAACCAATAGTCTTAGCATGTCTAGGCCACAAACATACAGTCAACATGGTAAGCGTTTGACTTTGCACAATAATGTAACATGGAAGATACTGAATCAGCTGCCAGTTTTAAATCTCTCACAGTTTTCATTTCCATTGCTATGACATAATTTTTAGAAAATTAAATGCTAAATTAAAAGTGATAAAAGATGCCTTTTGCTTATTTACAGGGTGAACAATTGTGTTGGATTCTCCAATTACAAGTTTTTTTTCCTTTTCTTGGCTTACTCTTTGCTTTACTGCATATTTATTGCTGCCACTGATCTGCAGTACTTTATCAAGTTTTGGATGGTAAGTTTAATATAATTCTATACACATACTTCATTCACTTTAAGTATCGAGATTTTAACAGAAGGACATTTTTGATGTCATTTTTTAATGGAATAAATAAATTAACCAATCACTGTTTTCATTCCTTTAAATGAAAGCAAAATACTGCAGGTGCTGGAAATCTGAAACAAAGACAAATGATGCTAGAGAAACTCAGCAGGTCTGGCAGCCTCTGTGGAGAGAGAAACAATGGTTAACATTTTGAGTCCAATATGGTTCTTCTTCAGAACTAAGAGTGTTTGGAAAAGGCTTTTAATGCTATTGATAGAAGGGGAGGAAAAGCAAGTGAAACAGATCGAGAGGGAATCCCAGAGCAAAAGACAAGGGTGTTGATAATGGCAGTGAAAGGGAGAAAGCTGTAAAATCTGGTGTGAAAAGGAGCAAATGAGTCCAATCTGCTGAGAGCAAAGTCAACAAGAAACAAGCAAGGCATGTTTGTGTCTGTGTGTGAGACTACGTGTGTGTTTTGTGGGAGGGTGGTTGACAAGGATGGTGATAGAAACATGTGGGGCGTGTAAGAAAAATCAAGGATACAGAGTCTATGTTCTGAAGTTGTACAACTAGCATCTTGTCTTTCAACTAGGCACTTACAGCCATCTGGACTAAACATGGGTGTTCAATAATTTTATTTTGTGTTTTGTTGCTGGTTTGTTCTTTTAATCTCTATTGTTTCCCATTTTGTTTCCTTTACTTTGCATTTAGATGGTAACAGCATTGACACCTCTTCCAGCACATCTTTTGCTTCTTACTTTTCTTTCCCATTCCCTCAGGCTTTGCAACATAGAATGTCTTGTCACTTAGTCTCTCTGTCCTCCATCCCTTCTGTTCCTCTTCCCATTCACTCCCTTTCACTTGTTTAAAACTTGCTATACTTTTGATGAACCATCGTAGCAGAAACATTAGCTGTTTTTCTCTGTTGAATATTTACAGCATTTCATTTTTTCTTTCAGATTTCCAGTATCCGCAGTAATTTTCTTACAGCAACAGATGTTAAACAACTATTTTATAAATTCCTGCTTTCACTCTATCACATTTCTTAGGCCAAGAAAAAAACGTGTGCAATTTTCAAATCATATGGAATGGGTGTCAAGTCAAGATAATGTTGGAAGTATATCGTCTGAGTACTTGCAGTGCTGTCATTTACTTCTTTCAAAATCCTAGAATGGAAAATTTAAAGCAATAGCTTTCAAGTGCCCAATTTTTGTCACTTTCACCACTCGAAATCTGCCTCAAAGAGCAATTCATTAAGAGAAAAATCCTGGCTATAATGTTTCATTCTGTTGCTTAAAAGTTCAAATATTTTCATATGGTGACTTGCATCATTATTAACCATAATAGGCTTTAATTCTTATTATAAAATGACAATATAAGGAATTATATAGTTTGCCTTCAAGCCTTTGAAACCTCTATCATTTCAACAGAGGAACATTGGGATGCAATGTCACAAAAAACCTGTTGATTTAAAAATAAATAAAACTTTAAAAGATCAGGGAATGATCTTAAAAAGTAGGGAATGATCTAACTACACAATATATCCATCAATGTTTCAGAAACCCTTTTAGTATAACCCTTCAGCAAAACTGGTCACCACAATATTAACCTGTCTTTACAGATGCTGATTTTATTGAGCAATTTTAACATTTTGTTTTCAGTTACAGCAATAAGCTATCGCTCTGACTTTTCAATAAGTGTCACTCATCTTGGATTATTAATACTGGTGTGATGGATTAGGAACTGTAGTTCAGTTTTCAGTGAGCTGAATGCTATCTTTGTTTTGACTCAGTAATTATCTAGAACAGTTGTTCTCCATCTGAGTTTTTTTTTGCATTAGATTTAATACGAGACTGTTACATTAAAATTGCTGAAGAAATTTATAATTGCTTTGTATTAAAATACCACTGGTGATGTTGCAAATTACTGAGACAATGAAATGAAAGACTAACCCATCATCACTTTGGACACTAATTGAACAAATTAAAGATACATTTAGGGAGAAATCAAATCAAAACATACTTTCAAACTCACCTCCACTGTCACAAAATTGTTCACTCCAGTCTTGCGATCTATTGTTCGTTAAATATAATGTTGAGGTGCCGATGTTAGGCTGAGGTGGAGAAAATCAGAAGTCACATGACACCAGGTTTTGGTCTAATAGATTTATTTGAAGTCACAAGCTTTCGAAGTGCTGCTCCTTCATCAGGTGAAGTGGAGGGAAGCACACAGGCACAGAATACATAGGAAGAGAAATAATGGCAAGACAGTTCAAGATAATTAAAAATGTCAACAGATAAGTACAAATAGTGTGAGTGGAGTGTCAACAGTTTGATTAACAAGTCTTTGCAAGTGATCAAAAGTGTCAAACACTGTGAATAAACAGCTGAATAGCAAGTGAAGGGATGACCTATGAGCCGATAAATTAAGGCCAAGAGATAATTACAAAAAATCAAAATAAGATGGTGCTAAGGACAAACCAGATGGCTGGAATAACATGATAGGTATCAGAATCACATGATGAGGGTCTAACCAAAGTAACAAGTCATCCAAAACTGTACAAACTAATTAAGATAGAGAGATAATAAGTTATCAAGGTGATGGTGTCAACACAGAACAGTAAAGAAGATTTTACAAACACGGAACAGTGTGATAGGGTTACATATTGTGCAACACAATATAATAATAGCCAAGTTCCGTACGCATGAAAATGGCATCAACCATGATCTTGGGTTCAAGTCACGCACCATCTTATTTTTGACTTCTTGTAATTATCTCTCTGCCTTAATTAAATTGGATCATAGGTCATTTAGCTATTCAGCTGTGGACACTTTACTCATATCATCTGTTATTCAGCTTGTTGACACTCCACTCACACTATTTGTACTTATCTGTTGACACTCTTAATTACCTGGAATTATCTTGCCGTTATCTTTTTGCCTATGTATTCTGTGCCTGTGCACTTTCCTGTGCTATCCTCCACTTCAACTGACGAAGGAGCGGTACTCCGAAGGCTTGTGATTTTAAAGAGACCTAAACTGTACACACTAATCCAGATGTGATCTTACCAACACTGTAGCAAACCATCCCCACTTGTATGTTTCATTCCTTTTGCAATAAATGACAACAATCTATTTACCTTCCTAATCACATATTTAATGTATTACGTATCTCCCTCTACCTCACAATTCTGCAATCTCTTTCCATTTAAACAATATGCTGCTTTTCTATTCTTACTGCCAAAGTGGACAAGTTAACGTTCCCACATTGTACTCCATCTGCTAACTTTTTTACGCACTCACTTAACCCATCTGTATCCCTTTCGCAGACTTTGTCCTCTTCATAACTTTCTTACTTATCTTCATCAGCAAGTTTAGCAACATTACATTTCATCCCTTCATCTAAATCATTGATGTAGATTGTTTTGGGGCATCCTAGAGTTGTGAAAGTGGTTATATTAATATAAAATCTTTCTACGTTTAGGAACTGTCTGATTTTTTTTAATTGTCAAGTTCATTTTATTTACTCAAATTCATTCCATTTTAATTAATTTCCCACCATTCTGCCCCAATTCTCAATAGCATTGGTAAAGTCCATGCTGAAGGCCACCAGCGGGTACAATCAAGTCATTTACTACTTGGTTTGGTGTGCCTTAAAGAATTTTGGAACGCATGCCTGAGTTCTCTGTTTGTGCACTAGACAGGCTGTAATTTTCTCAGTTAATTATAACTTAAAGGAAAAAGGCAGGCTGGCGGTATAAGCTGAGGAAATCTTGGCAGTTATTTCACAGTTTGTTCTCACGTGTGTGGAATTGATTCCAGAATATTCAAATCCTCTTGCTTTCTAGTGGTTAGCTATCAAATCAGTGTAATGTTAACTGCTGTAATATTTGAACTAATCACTGATGCAGACGTTTTCCGGATTGTGAATGGGTCTCATTGTTGAGTCCGTTTGCAAGTTGATTTGTTCGCAAGTTGGAACACAATGCAGGTCAATATAAAATAGCTGTTCATAATTATGAAGAAATGTTTGTATGCCAGATCTTTAAAATTACACCCCTGTATGGGATTACGTACATAAGTATCTTTGCATACCTATGTTGTATTCTGCAAGTTAAAATGATTTTAAAGAAGAACCTGCATTTAGACTTGACCAGAAATATCCCTCTAAGGCAGATGGACTGTTTTGCTGTCTAAAGCAGCACAGCTATATCTCAATTTCAGGGCTGTTTGTCGCTTGTGATGTGTAATAATAATTTGTTTTTAAAAGTAAAATACTGAAACACTTAGATAGTTTTGTAAAGAAATATGTCAAATGATGCCACAGCTAGTTTAGCCTCCCTTTCCTCTGCCTTGCAATTTCCAACTCAGCTTCTTGTCAGCCTGATTTTGATCCCTTATTACTTTTCCTGCTTATATCTCACCACACTCACTTTCTCCAGGAGCTCTAATTCCCGCTTTCTTGATCCTCTCTGCACTCAACTCCTTTCACTCAACTACCTCACTTTGCTGTGAAAGTAACTGGCATTATAAAAAAAATTCCCTGAGCACAAGCACAGTTTCTCCTTTGTTTAGAACTGGAAACTTCATCTCTTCCTTAAAATGGCTATTTTCAGTCCTGAAGAAGAATTAAAATCAACTCAACGTTAAATCTATTTCTTACTCCACAAGTACTGCCAAATTTGCTGAGCTTCTCCAGTCTTTCTGTTTTTATTTCAGATTTCCAGTATCCATAATATTTTATTTTTCTCTCTCTTATTTATTTAATTGAATAAATTATTTTAATTCATTCTAGCTTTGTACCCTTTTTATTGACTTCTTTCCACTTCCTTTCATCTCTTTTCAAGGATGAAATTCCAATTAAGCGGCTGAAGGAATATTGGGTAGGAATCCAAATGCTTGATCAGTTCCATCTTTCATGATGGAAACTGATTAGTCATGTAGTTAGTAAATGTTTTGTTTTATTTAGTAAATAGTATTTTATGTTTTGAGTTACAATATAGCAGCAAATGTCGAAAAATTAATTTTCTGTCTTGCAATGTTGAAATGCTGTGACATCAGTAGTTATGCTTCGGGACTAGTTGTCTCTTTCAGTGCAAGATTTTCTTTATTTTGGCTGCCCAGAATGTCATGGCCTTCAGTGTGTGGCATTGCAACAGCTCTAAGCACTTTACGGTCTGCATAAAGTAGGCCCAGTGACCTAAATCGTTCAGTTATTATGAGACTGACATTTTTTAAAAAGCATGAAATAAGTCAAGTTGGGAGATTTACACTGCAACAACAACTTGCATTTATATTGTGTCTTAACATAGTAAAACATCCCCAAGGAATTTACGCAATCTTTAGCAAATAAAATTTGACACCAAACCTCAAAGGGAGAATTTAGGGCAGATGTCCAGGAGTTTAGTCAAGGAGGTAGGTTTGAAGGAACACCCTATAGATGGAAAGAGAGGCAATTCCAGAGTGTGGATGTACAAAATGTACATTTAAAGGGGCGATTAAGAGACTTTTAGATAAGCACATGAATATGCAAGAAATGGAGGGATATGGTCCAAGGGCAGGCAGTAGGGATTAGTTTAACTTGGTGTCATGTTTGGGCCCATTCCTGTGCTTTACAGTTTTGTGTTCTAAATGTGAAACCACTTTCATAGGAATTCTATTCTTACCTAACAAATGAAGATTTAAATAAAGATTTATGTCTCTGGGAGCCACATGACTGTCACACTATAAACATCATATTCAAAATTTATATTAAGCCAAATTGTGACAGACTTCTGCTGTAATTCCAGCGAGGCATTCTAAATAATATCTGCGTTGGTGAAAAAGGCTTTTACAATAGAGGTATTGATAATTGGTGACTGATTGTCAACCAATTTGACTGCTAAATGACTTGAATTGATGTATCTTGATTATGTAAATTTATTTACTTCCCTGAATTAATATTTCCCTTTCAATTTATTTAACTATATTCAAGTCACACTTGCTTTCCTTTGGGGGGACGTAATTTTGTTATATAGGTTCAGAGCACTCGCAAATCTAGTCCCTTCAAATGTACTCTTTAATCCATTATATATCCCATAAAATAGAGAAATGATGAAAGGTTTAGACAGGGTTAATGTGTCATGGACAAATCTGTAGCAAGAGCAACACCCTCAAGTTTTTACCAGAAAATAAAGTTAAAAGGAATTTATTGATGAAACACAGATAGAACATTGACTTATTGCCTACTAAAGAGAAGAAATAGAGGGAAATTGGTCCTCATTGTGCCCGTTTTCCATGTATTAGTGTTGAAGACTATCATGAGATTCTGTTCTGCCATTCAATAAGATCATGGGTGGTCTTTTGCATTAACTCCACTTTCTTGTTCTATTCACATATCTATTGGTTCCCTTAATGCCGAAAAAACTATTCACAGAATCACAGAATCGTTATGGCATGGAAGAGTCCTAATATTAAACCCTGGAGAAGTCCATCACAAACTTTCCTCCAGCCTGAAAAATATCTATGAACCATTCCTCACTGCTTCCTGTCCCTCACTCAATTTTGAATCCATGTTGCTCCTGCCTCTTTAATGAGATATAACTTTGCTCACAATTCAGTTATGTGGCACTGTATATAATGTGCTTTGGAAGTTCATGTACGCCGGTATTACTACCATCAATTCTTTCAAAACATTTGCAGCAAGTCAGTGTAATAGAATTTCCATGCTTGCTCTTCCTAACAACTTACAATTTTAATTATTAATTATTATTAATTTAATCCCAAATAATTGTTTCTAAAAGCTTCCCCGCTACTAAAGTTAAACTCTTTAGTCTGTAATTTTAGGGCTTATCCTTACAATCATTTTCAAACAAGGGCATGATGTTTGCAATTCTCCAGCCTTCTGGTACCTCTCCTGAGTTGAAGAGAGACTACAAGGTTATGGCCAGTACCTCCACAGTTTTAATTCCAACTTCCTTCAGTATCCTGGAATGCATCTCATCTGGCCCCAAAGCCTTGTGAACTTTAAATGCAAACAATCTATCCAACACTTCTTCCTTTTCAATGATGACCCCTTCTAATGACAGAGTTTCCTCCTTTGTCACCGCAGCATGGGTAACATCTACCTTCCTGGCAAAAACAGATACAAATTAGTAATTTAACACCATGACCATGGCCCCACCTCCATGTGTAAATTCTCTTATTAAACTCTATTTGGCCATAGTCCTGTTTTCCCCATCCTTTGAAAATTTATGTGCCTATAAAAGATTTTGGGATTTCCCCAGAAGTCAGCTGCCAATCTTTTCTCATGTTCCTTTATTGCTTCTCTTATTTGCTTTCTCATCTCCCCTCTGAACCGTTTTGCATTCAATGTGGTTCTCAACTGTATTTTTTATCCGACTCTTGTCATAAGTTCATATTTTCTCCTTGATCATGATTTCTATCTCCTGTTTCATCTAGGGACCTCTGAATTTGTTTGTCCTACTTTTGCCTACTATGCCCGAACCATGTGTTGTTGAAGTGAGCCCATTGCTCAGCTACAGTTTTCTCTGGCCCAATTCTGATCCTGTCCCATTGAGGTCAGTTCTGCCCAATTGATTTTTTTTTAAACTCCAGATTGTCTGCCATCGTTTCTTAGCATTGAAACCAGCAGACCTGGGAACAATGTAGATTTCAGCAAATGTGCAAAAAGAGTTTAATTAAGAGTGTAGAAATAGAATACAACAGAAAGTTTGCAGGAACATAGAAGCCATAAAAGCTTCTATAGGTATGTGAAGTGGCAATGATTAGTGAAAGCAAATGTAGGTCTCTTACAGTCAGAAACAGAAGAAGTTATAACAGGGAACAAAGAGATGGATGACCAATTAAGTACTTTTATTGGTTCTGTCTTCACAAAGTAGGACACAAATTGTGTCCCAAATGTTGGGGAAGAGTCTAGTGATGGGAGGAAGTGAAGGAAATTATTATTAGTAGGGAAATGGTGGTAGGGAAATTGATGGGATTAATAGCTGATAAATCCCCAGGGCACGAGAATCTACATCCCAAAGTACTTAAGGAAATGGCCCTAGATTTAGTGAATGCATTGGTAGTCATCTTTCAAGATTCTATAGACTTGGAGCAGGTCTTGTGGCTTGAAGAATAGTTAATGTAACCCCACTATTTCAAAAAGGAACTAGAGAGAAAACAGGGAATTATACACCAGTAGAAGGGGAAATGCTAGAGACCATTATAAAGGATTTAAGAGCAGACCACTGAGAAAACAGTAACAGGATCAGACAGCATCAGCATATACTTATGAAAGGGAAATCATGCTTGAGAAATATTCTATAATTTTTTGAGGATGTGATTAGTAAAATTGATAAGGGGGACCAGTAGATCTGATTCGCTTGGATTTTTCAGATGGCTTTCAATAAGGTCCCATGTAAGAGATTAGCACATAAAATTAAAGCAGATGAAATTGGAGATGGTGTACTGGTTGGCAGACAGGAAGCAGAGTAAGAATAAATGGGTCTTTTTCCGGATGGCTGGCAGTAACTAGTGGAGTACCACGGGAATCAGTGCTTGCATACCAGCTATTCACAATGTGTATTAATGATTTAGATGAGGGAACTAAATGTAATGTCTCCATATTAGCGGATGGCATAAAGCTGGGTGGAAGGGTAAACTATAAAGAGGATGCAGAAATGCTTTAGTATGATTTGGACAAGTTGAGTGAGTGAGCAAATACATGGTCCATGGAGTATAATGTGGATAAATGTGAGATTATCACTTTCAGTGCAAAAACTGGAAGGTAGATTACTGTATGAATGGTAATGGATTAGGAAAGGGGAGGTGCTACAAGACCTAGATGTCCTTGTATGCTAGTTGCAGAAGGCAAGCATGCAAGTGCAGCAGGTATTGAAGAAGGCAAATGCTCCATTGGCTTTCATAGCAAGAGAATTCAAGTTCAGGAGCAGGGATGCCTTTCTGCAATTATACAGGGCCTTGTGAGACCATATCTGGAATATTGCAGTTTTGGTTTCCTACAGGGGGAGCCAATGGCCTATGCTATTATCGCTGGACTGTTAATCCAGGGACAGAGGTAATGTCCCAGGGACTTGGGTTTGAATCCCACCATGGCAGATGATGGAATTTGAATTCAATAAATATCTGGAATTAAGAGTCTAATGATGACTGTGAATCCATTGCCAATTGTCAGAAAAAAAACAACCCATCTGGTTCAGTAATGTCCTTTAGGGAAGAAAACTGCCATCCTTACCTGTTCTGACCTAAATGTGTCTCCAGATCCACAGCAATGTTTTTGATTCATAACTGCCCTCTGGGCAATTAGGGATGGGCAATAAATGCTGGCCTAGCCAGCGATGCCCTCATCTTGTGAATGAATAAAAAACAAAATCTGAGGAAGAATACGCTGGCTATGGAGGGAATGCAACGAAGATTTACCAGACAGATTCCAGGGATGGCAAGACTGACATGTGAAGGGAGACTGATCAGTTAGGATTGTTTTCACTGGAGGTTAGAATAAAGAGTGAGATTCTTATAGGAAGCTATATAATCCTAATTGGACTCAGCAGGTTAAATGCAGGAAGGATATCCTAAATGAGTCCGGAACAGGTGACACAGGTAATATAAGGTAGACCATTTAGGACTGAGATGAGGAGAAATTTCTTCACTCAGAAAGTGGTGAAACTGTGGAATTCTCTGTCACAGAAAGTGGTTGAAGTCAAAACATTGAATGTTTTCGAGAAGGATTTAGAAATAATTCATAGGGGAGAAAGTGAGAACAGGGTTCTGAGGAGTTGATTATCATATTGAATGGTGGAGCAGATTTGAAGGGCAGTATAGCCTAGTCCTGCTCCTATTTACAATGTTTTCTATGTTTCGATGTTTATATCCTAAATCTGACAGTTTCATGAGCACTGTCCCCTAAATGTTCCCCCACGAACACTTCATTTACTTGGCCCACCTCATTCCTGAGATCCAGGTCTAGCAGTGCCTCCTTTCTTGTTGGACTAAACACATCATACTGTAGCAACTCCTACTGAACACAATCCATGACAGCTTGTCAATCACTTTCCTTTTACAGCCCCAAGAAAAAAATTTAAAAATCATTATGTTCTCCTGTACGTAGGAGAAGGTCTGTTGGTGTAACCTTTATACATTTCAGGTTACACACTATTGAGAAAAGTACTGTAATCATAATTTTTTCATTCACATATAGTGGGTGTCATTGATTGGAACAGCATTTATTGCTCATCCTTAATGGCCCTTGAGAAGCTGGTGAGCTGTCTTCTTAAACTACTGCTGTCTGCACAGCAATCTTAGGGCGGGAGTCCCAGGCATTTGACCCAGCAATAGTGGAAGAACAATAATATATTCCAAGTCAGTCTGATGGGTGGCTTGGAGGGGAATTTTTCAAGTGATAGTATTCCAATGTATCTGCTGCCCTTGTCCTTTTAAGTGGTAGGAGTGGTAGGTTTGGAAAATGTTGTGTCAGGAGCCTTCATGCATTACTGCAGAGTGTCTTGTAGATGATGCACACTGCTGCCACTGGGTCAGTTGTGGATGGATTGAACTGTGAAGGTGGTGTACGGATGGGGTACTGATCAAGCAGTCTGCTTTGTCCTGGATGATGTCAAGCTTCTTAAGTGTCATTGGAGCTGCACTTATCCAGGCAAGTGGAGAATATTCCTTCATACTTCTGAGATGTACCATGCAGATGGTGGTCAGGCTTTGAGGAGTCAGGAGGTGAATTACTCACTGCAGAATCCTCAGCGTCTGACCTGCTGTTAGTCAGATGAATATGAGTGTTCATGTTGCTGGCCTCGTCTAATTTCTGGTCAATGGAAATCCCATATTTTCTCCGCTTTAAGGCATTCTTGACGGGTTGACGCTTGTTAACAGGTCTTCACAGGTGGTACAATTGTAAGTGATTTATCCACCATTTACACACAATATTCTTCACAGTTTACTGACCATCACCCCCTGCTGAAGGATCCCTGATCCGCTACACCCCCTCCCCCCACCCATCCACACATCCACCATATGTCCCAAAACCAAATCTAGAAAGTTACCCCAGGTCTCCAAAGGGGTATATTGGCCTTGGCTATCCAAAAGAAATCCATGAAAATGTGCTTCGTAGAATTGATAAAGGGGAGCCAATGGATTTGGTTCTCTTGGATTTTCAGAAGGCTTTCAATAAGGTCCCGCTTAAGACATTGGCATAGGATAGACCTACTCTGACCTGGTCTAATCTCCACACTCTGTGTTACACACTCCAGGAACTCCAAAATCCTGTTTCAGTGGAGGCAGCTGGTCACTTAAATAGCCAGTAGTCTCCAAGAAACTCAAATGTGCCAACCCCAGCCCATTTCCACAAAAATGAGTGAGGATATGTTCAGAGGCAAGACTTGTGCTTCCTGACAAATTCTGGATTTTTTATCATAGCAGAGATACTCAAAATCCTGGCACAAATTGAAATCAATGTACTTATTTACTTTCTCAGTCATTTTTCTATTTCCTATTCTAAATTCTCCAGTCTGTGCTAATAATGTGTCCACAGTTGTCTTTGCTAATATTTTACATTTTACATACTTATTGAAGCTTTTACAATCTATTTTATGTTTCTTGCTATTTTGCATTTATATTCTGTTCACTCTTTCATTATCAATTTCTTTGTTCTCCTTTGAAGTCTAAAATTCTCCCAGTCCTCAGGCTTACAACTTTTTTTTGCAACTTTATAACCTTTGATCAAATACTGCCTTTCACCTCCCTTGTTGGTCATGGCTCTCTCACATTTCCTTCTGGATATTTTTGACTGATAGAAATGTATGTTGTTTTTTGGAAAACAGCATTAATTCTTTAAATACTGAATATTGACTAAGAAATACCAGGAATTCTTCATCCATAACATTGGTGCTCAATAGATTTACCTAGTCTGTTTGTAAATTGAAGTCACTCTTGATTGCTGCACTCCTATTGCTACTTGCACCTCTAATTTCCTGATTTTCACCATGTTATGACGACTGATTTATAGCCCGTAAATCACTCCTCCCAATGTTTGCGACCCTTGCTGTTTCTTAGCTCCACCCAGACAGATTCTAAGTTTTGTTCTTCTGGTCAGAGATCTTCTCTCACTAAAACAATGATCGTATCCTTTAGTATCATGCCAATCCCATCTCCTTTTCCTTTTTTCTTAGCCTTCGTAAATGATGAATATTCTTTAATATTCAGTACCCAGTTCTTGAAGGCGCATCTCCATAATACTTACAATAAGATATACTTATACAGTGTCTATAGTTCAGTGGAATGTTCTAAGACATTTCCTAAGCAGTGTTATCAAACAAAATTCAATGGTAAACTGTATAAGGAGATATTGAGTCAGTTCAATAAAAACTTGGTGAAAGATGTAAGTTTTAAGAGAGGAGAGAACTTGTGAAACAGAGCAATTTAAGGATGAAGGCCCAAAGCTTAAGGCAGCGAGAGGTACAGCCCCCAGTGGCAAGACATTAAAAACTGAGATCTTCAGGATCCCAGTAATAAAAGGCTAATTAAACAATCAAAGTTGTCAAGATAGATCAATATGATTTTGTTAGGTGAGAAAATTAAGTGATTAGGATCAAAAGTGGGTGGAATATAGTTGAAGTGCGGATCAGTCATGACATAAACGAATGGCTGAACACAAGTGGGGAGTGGATTTAATGGCTTGCTCCCTTGTGTTCCTTAAGCTTCAGAAGATAGAAAACAAATAAAAGCAAATCTGGATTGTAAAAAAAACACAAAATGCTGCAAATTGAAGAGTCTGACAGTGTCTATGGTGGGAATATCAAAGTTAATGTTTCAATTCGATGGTCTTTTGAATGGACTCATTCAGAACATTTCCTGATCAAAGGTCACAGATTTGAAACCTTTCTCTCTCCACATATGCCACCAGACCTATTGAATATTTTCAGCAATTGCTGTTTTTATTTCAGATTTTCAGCAACATTTTTCTTATGTGCTGTATGTAGACCCAAAATTACATAGAGTAGATGTTAGAACTGCTTTTGTGTTTCCAGCATTTTTTCTTATGCTTGTTTTTTCCCTTATGCTTGTTTTTTTTCTTTATCCAGAATGGCCTGCCAGATACCCAAGCTAAGTTCCACATCATGTTCCTGTTCTTTGCAGCTGCAATGTTTTCCATCAGCCTGTCCTCCCTGTTTGGATATCATTGCTGGTTAGTCAGTAAAAACAGGTCTACCCTTGGTAAGACAATCTTCTGATTTTCCATTTCAACAAGCATTTGTGATCATGAAGAACATTTACATGATTCTAATTACATAAAAGATGTGCGATCATGTGCAACATTTCATGCAGGTCACTGCTTTGTATCCTGGCAGCAGTTAGGAAGCTTTTGTCCTACAGCAGTACACTCTTCCAGCTGCATTTCAGCTGGTTTGGCAAATCAGAGAGTGGTTACTGGGCAGCACAGGCTCTCCTTTGATAATATGGCTCAGGCCACTGAAGCCACTCACATATGCAAAGCCATGCTATCACACAAAATATGACAGAGCAGGCCATTGGCATGCTGAAACAAAGCACCTGCTATCTGAATGGCTCTGGAGGGACCCTTTAGGACATGAATGGCTTGCATGCTCCCCTTGCCACCAGCTGTATGACAAATAGCTCAGAAAGAAGCAGCCAGCACAGTTCTCTTCAGACCTCTCTGCCTGGATTGTCTATGATTGACTTATTCAACTGCATTGCCCAGGAACATAATTCTAATTTACCTTCCTTCCATTACTGACTGTGACAGCATCTGTTTGGCTACAATGCAAAAATAAAAACCCATGTCAAAATAAACATTCCAAACCAAACTTACAATATAAAATTATGCCATATAGCAAATGTCATGCTTGTGAATTCCATCCTGTCCATTTTCTGTGTCCCACGCATGGCCTCGTTCCCCTGCTTTGTGCTGCCACAGCAGAGCTGGTAGAAGGCTGCTGACTTTCATCCAGGGAGACTGTAAATACTGTTGTTGGATGACCTTGAGCAGCCCTGGCTCTCTCAGGCCTGGCTTCAGCTTGTGCCAACCTGGCATGAATGGCAGCAGTTTCAGCTGGCTGGCTGGCTGACAGGTAACAGCAAAGGGCACTGCAAGAGTAGCAACAGTGGGAGGATGAATGCTGTCATGCTGAGAGAGGTACATACTTTCTGCAGCTATTGTTACTTCCTCAACACTGCCTCAGCAGTCTGAGAAATGCTTTAGAGGACTGATTGTTGGACTGCTGGGAACCACTTCAAGCCCCTTTACTGTATTGGTATTCAAAGGTCTGTGTGCAATGGTCTGGGCTCACGTGGCAGCAAGCTGAACTAGTTAATAAGACTTCATGACAACAGCACCCAGACATTGACAACTCCTGCTTGTGCTACAATGGAATCTGAGACATAGACCATCAGATGCTTCTTCATGGTTGCATTGGCAAGTATGATTTCTGGAGTCGGTCACTATTTTCACCTGAAGAGGATGTTTACCAAACTCTATAAAAAGTCAGGCTCCTTCGTGCTCCTTGTCATTGACCTAGGGCTTTCTGCGAGACCTGTCAATGCACCAAGCGTCATTGTCTATATTCATCAGCCCTCTTCTGTAGGTCTTATCTTGCCTTCCAGGATGTTTGCATCTGTTGTAATCTAGAGAGCCAGCTGAATGCTGTGGCTACATGGATTCGAATCCCACCACACCAGCTGGTGGAATTTAAATGTAATTAATTCAATCTTGAATTGAAAGCAAGTTTCAGTCAGCAGTGACACAGAAACATAGAAAATGTGAGCGGGATTGAGCCATCCTACCCAGTGAGCTGACCCCCTCCACCCTCCCCCCACCGCCCCCACCCCCCTACCTTTCAATATGTTTGTGGCTGGTCCTCTGTCTCAACACCATACTCCCACTCTGTCCTAATATCTGTTGATGCCTTTAGCCTCTAAAAATGTATCTGTTTCTCCCTTAAATATATTTTGTGACTTGGCCTTCTCAGCCTCTGTGGTAGACAATTCCATAGGTTCACTACCATTTGTGTTTGGAAATATCTCCTCATCTCAGTCTGAAATGGCATAGCCCATGTACTAAGACCATGATCTTTATCCTAGAACCCCTGGCCAGGGGAAACATCACCACTGCATCCACTCAGGATTTTATACGTTTCAAGAGGACCCCTCTCATTCTTCTAAACTTCAGTGAATACAGGCCCAGTCAACTCTATCTCTCTTCATACAACAAACCTACCATCCTAGGAATCAGTTTAGTGAACCTTTGCTGCACTGTCTTCCAGGCAAAAATATCTGTTTCTTGGATAAGTAGAACAGAACTCCACAGACTTTCCAAGTGTGGCCTTACCAAGGCCCTGTATAGATACAGTCAGCTCTTGCAATGAATGCCAACAAACCATTTCCTTCCTTACTGCTTGTTGTACTTGCATGCTTGCTCTTAGTGACCGTGCTGATTGTTGTAAAAACCCACCCAGTTCGCTAATGCCCTTTTAGGAAGGAAATATGCTGCCCTTACCCAGCCTGGCCAACAGATTACTCCAGACCTTTGACCAGTGTTTGACTCTTAATTGCCCTGAAATGACCACAAACTATTCAGTTCAGGGACAATTAGGGATAAACAACATTTTCTGGCCTCGCCAGTGCCACCCATATCCCATGAAATAATAAATTAGCGAAAAGGTTAGTCTACAAAACACTCATCTTCCCAATGTGGGGTTTGGGACCCCAAGTGGGGGTGTGAGCTGAAATCTCATAATTTAACTGTGGCAAAAATGCAATGGCTGAGGTTATTTTAGAGAGAAAGGTTATGTCAGCTAAAGTCATAATCCAACTGATTTGTTGTTATTAATACCCTACCATTGATGACAGAGCTTTCAACCATACTTCAACTCTCTTCCCCCAGCCTTGCCTTATCTGACAAACCAAAAACTCTTTTAAGAATCTACCTCTTCAGCTATGCCTTCAGGCACTTCCAACGATTTTCTCCCCACCGCCCCCAACTGCTGCTCAATTCTGACTCTGAACTGTAAGATTTAAGGCGCCATGAGTTACTGTTAGTTAAATATATTTGAAGCTGATGCTATAAAGTTAGAAAGGCAAAGTAATGGCAGTAAGAATGCTAGACTGGGTTAGGAAACAATGAGATGATGTGATGGAGATTGATTCAGAAATGACATACAACAAACTATGATGAGTAAATCATCCTACTTCGGATTCTATCTTGCTTGTGACCTCAGCTCCGTAGTTAAACCTCAGAGCACAACAGATAGTGGACCAAGCGGTAAAATAAAAAGGATTGAAATATTTATTTGTAGAACAGTTCAAAGACTATTAATGACTATATTTTGATTCAGAGGCCTTCAGAGCACCTGTGTTTCGACATGGTCCTGACAAGAGTGGATTTAGCTTAGGATGCAGCAAAAATATGAAGCAAGTATTTGGAGATGAGAAGAAATACTGGTTGCTACCCATCTTTACAAGGTACAGCTCAATTTTCTGAGTTTCCTTATCTTTCATTGAAGTATTTTAATTTAGAATAAAAATTGTGTTACTGTTGAAAATAATATTTTAAAACGTAAATGAAGCTTAATGTTTTCTGACAGTCAAATATGCGTTTATAATTGATATCTTATATTGTTTGATTTAATATATTGCTGTGGACTTCCATGAAAAGAGTGACACTATCACACAATATGGCAATTAAAATATGTGTTTACTGATAAGTTAGGATCAGAATAGTAGCAAATCCTTCCACCTGACATCCACATGGAAAATTTTGTGGCAATACAAGGGGCTAAAGGAATGAAAGCTAAGTCTAGGTGAGGGAGTTGGAAGAGACAACCAAAAGCTTCATTGAAGAGATCAGTTTAAACAAGATTCTAAATATGCACAAAGAAAGTGAAGTCATAGAGAGATTTAGTAAAACCATTGCAAAGAATTGTCGGGAAAACAGTTATAGGAGGCATTGAGATGGAAAACTGATGTTACATGAATAGGTTGAGTTGAGGCTGTGATGGACTTGGTTGATTTTTAAATTTAGCTTGTTGGGGAAAATGGAGCTGATGTAAATAAGTAGGGTTGAGTATTATTGCAGTGCATAAAGAGGCTATTCAGCCATTGTGCCTCCCCCAGCTCTAATATTTAGTCCAGCTTTCTTACCTGGTGCCAATTGCCTCCATTTTCCCCATATCCAACCAATGCCCTCTTTAATGCCTCAATTGAACCTGCCTTCATCACATTTCCAGACAGTGCATTCCATGGCCTAAGAACTTGTTCTGAGAAAAAGGTTTTTTTTTGGAAAAAGCTTCAGCCTATTTACTCTGTCCAGCCCACTCATGATTTTAAAAATCTCAATCAAATCTCCTTTCAGCCTTAATCTCTCCAAGGAGAATAGTCCCAAATTCTGCAATCTATCATCCTAACCAAAGTTTCTCATTCCTAGAATCATTCTTGTAAATTGCTTCTGCACATTCTCCAATGCATTCACATCTTGCCAAAGATTTAAGGCTAATATTTAAGGGTGACATGAAATAGCAAGCCTCCCTGAACACAAAATAAGAGCATGGATTGAAGAACATTGTGAACATTGGAAGTCACAGCTTTTCCAGTCAAATAACATCAGCGAAATCACCACAGACAGGTAATTGGATGTGGGATCTTTCCGAGCGAGGCAGTAGCCTTCCAGATTGAACTAAGTTTACTGAAGAATAAACATGCTGTGTGATCATTTGTCAACTGGGGTGATGAAAACAGTGTACAAAACCTTGATACTATATTAAATTTCAGAGTTAAATGATAATAAATTGTGCATTTCAAAAAAATGAACTTCCTGTTTCAAATGCAGTCTAGGTGATGGTTGTTCCTTTCCAACGTGCTTAGTGAATCAGGATCCAGAGCAGCCATCCACTCCATCTGCTCAGAACATATCTGCCAAAAAGTAATTGTTATTTATTTATTGCCATGCTATTTCAACATAAAAAGATTTTGATTTTTTTGCAGAACCGAATAATGTTTTTTAATAAGCAAAAGAAATATTTATTTTGTTGTTTTGTTCTATCTTTGATTTGACCTATCACTTTCTAAGATGGTAATTCTATGCAGTTCTTCTTTGAATGACATGTTACTTCAATCTACACAGTTCATTACATAGCATAAGTGATGCATTGTAGTATGAGTGAGGTTTACTGAGTACCTAGCGTTGTGCAGTATGCTGGAGATTGATTCAAGGGAGCCACCGCATACTGAGCTAATTCTTTAATCACCTTGTTCACAGTATTACTGAAGCACATCCATTTCCTGCAAAACCTTTACGAGAATCCCAGAACCATTTACTGGGTAGTGGACAAACATGGTCTGAGGGAGCTTCTGACGATGAGAAAGGCAAGCTTGGTGAGTATTTGGAACATTTTACAATTTAAATAACTTCACACAAACTAAAAACAGGTAATATTGGTTTGAAATTAGAAAATACTAGGACAATAGTACAGTTTTGCTAATACATTGCAGATCATTGATAATTAATAAACTGACTGTAGTTTACAGCCAGAAGGCTTTGAGGCATTTCAAGGGGCAAACTACTGCAGGGTTATCTAACAAGTGATGATATATTTTGCATTTTACCCAAAAAGGAAATTCAAAACAACCCTCTTGCTGAATTGCATTTTTTTTAAAGTCACTGTAGCTTTTATTAGAATATGCGAACGTTTGAGAGACGATTTTCAGTTTTTAGGGACAGGTCTACAAATCTAAGTATCATTATTGAATCAGGCTTACTGGGCAGTCATCAGTAATGCCCTGCAGTGCTGTCGGCCTTCTGGTTGTGGCATAAGAAAATGTAAAAGAGAGAGAAGATGTGCACCTTATCCAATCCAGTTGATCCCAAATTCTCATATCATTATTCTATCATTTGTGATCCTATATTGTAGGGAGCAGTAATATCCTCATTAAAGAAAAGAAAGCGAATATTGTTAAGAATAGATTCGTAGGTGTTTACAGCAAATAATGAGGCCATTCAGCCCAATAAAAATAGTCGATGTATTGGTGGTCATCTTCCAAGATTCTTTAGACCCTGGAGCAGTTTAAATGATTGGAGAGTAGCTAATGTAACTCTGTTGTTTAAAAAGGGAGGTAAAGAGAAAATCAGGAATTACAGACCAGTGAGTCTGACATCAGTAGTAGGCAAGGTGCTAAAGTTCATTATCAAGGATTTTATATCAAAGCACTTAGAAAACGGTGGTAGAATCAGACAGAGTCAGTATGGATTTACAAAAATAAAATCATGCTTGAGAAATCTACTAGGATTCTTCAAGGATGTAACTAGTAGAGTTGATATGGGAAGCCAGTGGATGTGGCTTATTTGAACTTTCAGAAAAGTTTTGACAAAATCCCACATAATAGATTAAGGTGTAAAATTAAAGCGTGTGGGATTGGGGGTATATATTGACATGGATAGAAAGTTGATTAGCAGACAGGAAATAAAGAGATGGAAGAAATGGGTCTTTTTCTGAATGGCAGGCAGTGACTAGTGGGATACCACAGGAATCAGTAATAGGACCCCAGCTATTCACAATGTAGTATCTCAAGTTCACAGATGACACAAATGGTGGAAGAATGAGCTGTGAGGAGGATGCAAAGATGTTGCAATGTGATTTGGACAGACTGAATGAGTGGGCAAATGCATAGCAGATGCAATTTTAGTAGCAAAAATAGGAAGGCAAATTATTATTTGAATGGTGTAAGTTGAGAGAGGGGAGTTATCAATGAAACCTGGGTGTTCTCATGCACAAGTCACTGAAAGTAAGCATGCAGGTATAGCAGGCAGTAAAGAAGGCAAACTTCATTTTACCCTTCATAGTGAGAGGATCGGGTTACAGGAACAAGGATGTCCTGCTGCAAATATACAGGGCATCAGTGATGCCAAACCAGGGATATCGTATGCAGTTTTGGTCTCCTTATCTGAGGAAGGATATTCTTGCTATAGAGGGAGTGCAGCAAATGATTTCTGGGATGGCAGGACTGAGGTATGAGGAGAGATTGAGTCGGTTAGGATTATATTCATTAGAATTTAAAGGAATTGGTGGGCGGGAGGTAGGGGGTATTCTGATAGAAACCTATAACCTTCTAACAGAACTAGACTGGTTAGATATAGAAAGGATGTTTCCGATGGTGGCGAGTCCTGTACCAGTGGGTCATAGTTTAAGGATAAGGGGTACACCTCTCTTGGACTGAAGTGTGGAGAAAATTTCTTCACCCAGACAATAGTGAGCCTGTGGAATTCACTATCACAGAAAGTGATTGAAGCCAAAGCATTGTGTGTTCAAGAAGGAGGTAGATATGGCTATATGGTTAAAAGAATCAAGGGTTATGGGGTGAGAGCGGGAT